ATGGGTGGACGGACAGTCACAAGGAAAAGGTTGGGGACTTTTTAAAGAGAATATTCCTTCTGGATTTTGGCTTACCTAAGGAAGGACAGCGTTCTCAGCTTGTGCCTTGAGAGCCAGGTAGTCTTCGTTGTCCTTCGTTAGGCTGCCCCATAGCAGGGCCAACACTTCCTCTTAAATCAACATACCCAATATAAGAGAAATCTATAACTAAGGTTTAGCAGTGGTTCTCAACCTGCTGGCCCTTTAAATACAGTTCCTCATGTTGTGACCCAACCATAAAATTATTTTCGTTGCTACTTCATAACTGTAATGTTGCTACTGTTATGAATCGTAATGTAAATATCTGATATGCAGGATGGTTTTAGGCGACCCCTGTGAAAGGGTCGTTCGACCGCCAACGGGGTCTCGACCCACAGGTTGAGAACCGCTGGCTTAAAGGAAGAGATGATCAGGAAATACTCAGCTTTTGCAGCTTTAAAAATTAAATATGGGAGGATGCCGTTTTGTTCTTCCTGGATAACCATAATAGAAAAGAAAGGCAGGACAAAAACGGGGAAAGCAAAAATGCTGGCGAGAGGGGGAGGCCAGAGCCAAACCATTGCTGACCCCCAGGCCACTGCTGCTTGTTTAAACTGAGGTCCCCACAAACATCTGCTCAAAGTCAGCTGCCCACCCATCCCTGGACCAGAGTGGCCTGTCAGAGGTCACCTGTCACCCGGCCAAAGTCCATTGTCCACCCTACATAGGACTGGCCTAGAGCACCTCCCACCTCCCCCAACCCCAGCACTAACCACGCCCTCACTGTCCATGGTCCTCCCGGAAACCTAGGCCAGGTATGAGGCAGATGCACCCTTGTAAGGGGAGGATCTGTCATTTATGTCAAACCTAAAGGGGTCTCTACCCCCTAAAAGGATTGAAAGCCTAGTTCTGGTCTTGGTTGGATGGCAGCCAACTGGGCACAGTTGACAGCTATGGGGTGGTCCCCACTCCGAGAACGAGCACGCGCTCAGGGTGCCTACGGTCAGGGGCCTTCATCTCCCTCGGGGAGCACTCAGACGAAGATACGAGGAGCAAGAAGCGGGCATGATGCCTTGTGAAGACCACGTGTACAGGGCGTCCCCAAAGTGTATGCACACTTTGAATCGTTATTAATTCCAGTGGGTTAAATCTGAAAAGGATGAAGCATGGGAATCGATAATGATCCAAAGTGTGTTTACGTTCTGGGGGGACACCCTGTGCTTAGATCTCAGCTACTGTTTGGTGACTTCCACCTCTTAAGTCCAAACCTTCGGATTTCAATGAAAGCCTCAGGGACCATTGGGTTCTGGTTCAGTGCATCC